CACACCCACAGAAGTTGTTAAGCCTACGGCGCCGCTTGGGGTCCTCTTGAGGGGCTTTGGGGGGCTTCTTGGAAGCATCTTGGGGCCTCTTGGGGGCTTATTGGGTCCTCACGGCGGGCTCTTGGGGCCTCTTGAAGGCCTCCTGGGGCAACCTATGGCGCAACCAGTAGGGGGACGTTTTATTCTCGGCGGCCGAGGGCGCAACCTATGGCGCAACCAATAGGGGGGCGTTTTATTCTCGGCGGCCGAGGGCGCAACATATGGCGCAACCGCAAGGGATTCTGGCCCCTGGCAGGCGCGCGAACCCCGTTGCAAGAGCGTGCGAAAGTAGCTCGCGCGAGCTCATGTAACATAAATGTTGGAAAACCATTGGTTTTTTTAGGATTCGGACAGCGCGCGCGGGTAGAAATTTTGAAAAGTCGTGCAGGTGTTTTTCGAGGACCTACGGTGCGATTCGTGTGATTTTATGATGCGCGGTGCTAAAATTCTTAAGAAGCCCAATGGTTTTTGGAGATTTCGGCGTGCGCGCGCGAAGAAAAAACGAATGTGTCCCGCATGGTATTATTTGACAGGGATGATGGCCCTGGCAGGTGCGCAACCGTTGTCGCAGAAGTTCGAAAAAGTTGCTCGCAAAAGCCCGTTTGACAGAAATGTTTAAAAAGTGTTGGTTTTCCTACGAATCCGCAAGAGCGCGCGGGATGAGATTTTGACATTTTTTTGTTGAAAAACCATTGGTTTTTTGATGTTTTTATGTTAAAATCGCTCCGAACACTAAGCTTTTGGAAGGATTTCGTCTTGCGCGCGCGAATGTCCACTTTACCTTATTTTTTGCAAGGGATTCTTGAAATTTGATTATATTAGAACAAGAAATGTCATTTTATAGTGTTTTTTGCAAGGGAAAGCGGGGGGGAACAAAACAACCGGATCTTGATCACATCGAATTACCTGAGGCTTCCTCACGAAAATGATGAAAATGTAGCTGCGGCCTAGGCGGCGCAGGGGGGCCGTGCACCAGGGGTCCCAACAATAATTATTCTTTAGAATTAATAAAATGTTCAACATCAGCAGCATCATAATCATGACCCACTCTCTGTCCTTCACGGGCGGCTAGTCCTAAGCTCGGCAGCGAATACAAGCTGAGTTTCGACTGGAACCGTGACCGTCGTGATGCGCACGCTCCACGCAGAAGGACCCCTCCTTTCCCTCCAGCCGCGTCGCTGTCGCCATCCTCCTTCTCCTCCTTCACCTCGGCCTTCCCCTCCCCAGCGTCTCCCTCGTCGCCTCATCCTCCTTCGCTCTCTCGCGCGGTCTTCTCCAACATCCCTCGTCCCTCGTCGACCCTCCCTGGGGTGGAAGAAGGGGGGGAGCAGCTCGAACCCGTGCGCCGCGCCGCCCACATCGAGGAGGGAGAGGAGGAGGAGGAGGAGGAGGAGGAGGAGGAGGAGGAGGAGGAGGAGGAGGAGGGGAAGGAGGGAAGGAGGGGAAGGAGGAGGAGGAGGAGGAGCAGGAGGAGGACCTGCGTAAACCTAAGGTGCATCAACGGTGTCAACGGTGTTTCAGTGTACCCCGCCGTCCCGAGGCTCCTCCTCACGGGCTCCCTACAAGCATTTCCCTTTCCTCACTGCAAGAAGCGCCGCCGCACGCGCGCGGGAGCGCGCACCCGACGCAGCGGACGAGGCGCCCCCACGGCCCGCTGGATGATGAAATGCAAAGGTCTTGGCTCGACCCAGGCGCGGCGAGTGCACGCCGTGCTGGAGCAGGGGCGCTCTCTGACTACCTACCAGACCACCCCAACCCAACCCGAAGACCCGAATTTCGGGTTGGGGGGGGGTAAGGGTTCCACACGTGTTTTTTCGATGTTTCCCGACCCCCCGCCCACTGGAAATCGAGGGTAAATCTGAGCCTTCGGGTTGGGTTGGGGTGGTTTGGTGGGTGGTGACTCTCAGGCGCAGTGATGAGCAACCTCGTGCGGCTGCGCATTGCACCGCAGGCATCGGCACACTGCATCCGCCCCTGCCAGAGGCAGCCGCCGCCGCCGCTGCCTCTGGCCCGGGATTCTGACTCGAGGGGCGGTGGCGGCGACGAGGCGGCGCGCCCATACAGAGGGCCTGGCCTCTCCCAAGCGGTCGTCGCGAGCGCTCTCGCACCGCCCGCGCACCGCCCTATGCCCCCGTCGCTTCCATGTCGGCTGCGATCTTTTCCTCCTCCTCCTCCTCCTCCTCCTCTTCCTCCCCCTCCTCCTCCTCTTCCTCCATACCTTCTCCTGTAAAAGAACCTCTCCCTGTCGCACCCTCACACGTGTCGGTAGGGCGGGCCGGGCGTTTCGCCTGAGACGCCTTCACCAATTATGACCCTGAAGCTTGACATGCGCAACAGCTACGAGGATAGAGATCGGGCCGTTTTCAAAATGGGGTTCTCGCCAAAGCGCCGCGCACATTCGTCTTAAAAGTGTGCAAGAGCTTCACGAATGGAGGGGATCGTTTTCGAAATGAGGTTCTAGCCTTAGCGCAGCGCACAGTCGTCCCAAGGTTGCGACAGCTTCACGAATGGAAGGAGTCGTTCTCAAAATGGGGCTCTCGCCTCAGCGCCGCGCACATTGACCTTAAAAGTGTGCAACATGACAGGGATGGTGGGTGGTTCCTTTTCAAAGCGGGACGTTCCCTTGAAACCCTTTCAAAACTGAAGATCCACTGCGTGAACACCTGCAGGAGCTAAGCGGATGGAAGGCGGTTCCCCATTCAAACTTGGGCGGTCGCTTGGGACGTTTGTCAATATGGAGATCCGCAACTTGAACACTTGATACAGCTGCACGGATGGAGGGCGGCCCTTTTCAAAGTTGGTCTCGCGCTCGAGACTTCCACTGCGCTCATGACCTAAGCGAAAGCTTGTGACAGGGATACACAAATGTGGTCCTCTTCGAAGCGGGGATATCGACAGACACCTCGTTAAATTGCATGGCCATACCTGTGTGCGTTCATTCTTACTCGCCAGAAGGATGCAAGGCAATGCCAATTCAAATCGCGGTTCTCGCCTGAACGGAAGGTCCATCGGGTGCTGATATTTCGAGGGGGGGCGCTTCTGAAGTGGAAAGGGGGGCATGTAGGGAATTATGAAGAGGAGAGTGGGGCAGGAGTGTGTATTGCAGCATGGTTGATGCATCTTGGGTTTACGCTGGTCCTCCTGCAATTCCTCCTCTCCGCTCCTCCTCCTCCTCCTCCTCCTCCTCCTCCTCCTCCTCCTCCTCCTCCTCCTCCTCCTCCTCCTCCTCGTCCTCCTCCTCGTCCTCCTTCCCTCCTCCTCATCCTCCTCCTCCTCCTCCTCCTCATCCTCATCCTCCTCCTCCTCCTCCTCATTCTCACCCCCCTATTGCATCCCCCCAATCATCATCACCATCACCATTATCATCAGCATCAGCATCGTCATTAACGACAACAACCGCAACAACAACAACAACCACGACAATCACAACAACACCAACAACAATAACAACAGCAGCAGCAGCAACAGCAACGACAACAGCAACAATAACAACAACACCAACAACAACAACAACAACAACAAGAAGAACAACAGCAGCAGCAGCAACAATAACAACAACCACTATAATACTAACAACAACAATAACAACAACCATAACAACAGCAATAACAACAATGACAACAACAACAATAACAACAGCATTAACAACAACAATAACAACAACAGCAACAACAACAACTACTACTACTACTACTACTACAACTACGACAACAACACTAACAATGACAACAACAACAACAACAACAACAACAACAACAACAACAACAACAACAACAAGAAACATCAGTTTAAGACTGTTAGCTCCTCTCCGCTCGCGGGTCAGTCAACACGTATGTCCCAACCACCAGTACCCGCCCTCTTCGTCTCCGATCGTACCCCCTTGGGGTAGAGTTTCTTTGCCTGCAACGTGCATGTAGCGCAGCCCCTAAAACAGGAAATGAGAGGACGTATGGAAGGGGGAGGGAGAAGGATGTGGAGCACGAGAGAAATTAGCAGGAGGGGGGCTAGGAGCAGAAAACTCATGGTAGACCCAGACGGGCAGATCGGGCGGGCAGACCCTAGCGGGCGGGTCGGGAAGGCGGGCCCAGGCGGCCAGGTCGAGCAGGCGGGTTGCTGTAGCGTGAGTCCTGCGTGAATTGCCACGAAGTCTCGAGCGACAGCGCGATTCTCAAGCAAATAATTTGAAAAGCCCAGGCCAGAGCGTGATTCCTGAGTGTTGAGGGCGCGGTGTCTGAGTACGCGTGAGCGCGATTCCTGCATACACTGTCAGGATACCCCACGCGAGAGCGCGATTTCGGAAAAAAATTGAGGCAGGATCAGGCGTAAGCCGTTGTTGCTGTAGCCGCGGGGCCGGGGGCACAGTTTGAGCAGGAGGCCTCTCCCTCCTGAAAAACAGGGTGCGAGCCCCCAGGGGAGCAGTTTGACTGAAAAATACCATGTGCACCGGTGGGGGGATCAACAGTAACTGTTCTTCCGGAGCGAGAACTCAACCACGGCCACAGCACAATCGCCGTCACCACCAACAGCTACACCCTGCGAAATGCTTAAGAAATCATGGGTTAAGAAATTCATAGTCTCAGAACTTGAATAAAAACCCAACGTTTCCATTAAAATCTTAAGATTTACATTGAAACGTTGAGAATTATCGAGACTCTGCCCGAAAACTTGAGTTTTCTTAAGCATCGCCTAAGGTGTATAGCAGGATCAGCGCACACGACGCCCGCGTCGCCCTCCCGACCCTGCCCCGCACGCTGCAGGGTACGGTCGGGACGTTGACCTAAGGAACCCTAAATGAGGAACGAGGCCCCTTTTCCCCACCAGTTGAAGTTCGATTTCCCATCGAAAACCTGAGGAAAACCTGCGGCAAGCTGTGAGCCAACCAGGGAACACGGAGCTCCCCCCCCCACGAAAAGGGCTCCTCCTTCAGCGCCCCGACGGTGCGGAGGGCGGGGAGCGCGGGCCTCGAAAGGCACGATCGCCAGCAGCCGGCCCACGAAGACCAGGCAGTAGCACTCCATCATCCTGGGCGCGGGGGGGCCGCGCACGCGCCCAGGGGGCGCTGCCTGGGGCAGGCTGCTGCCCCCAGAGTCATGTCGGGCCTGTCCCCCTACAAGGGGGATTTGGGACGACAAAACAAAAATACATATTTTTTAGAGGGCTCAAAAATAGTTGCTTTGTTTTATGTTTTATTTTTCTCCAAAAAGAACTGTTTGTATTATAGTTTTAGAGGGATCAAAAATACTTTTAAAAAAGGCTCAAACATAGTCTTAACATAAGAATTTAAAAAGAGGGCTCAAAAATAGATTTAAAAAAGCACCCCCTGATTATTTGTTTCATCTTTGAATATTCCTCCTGTGGAGGGACAGGCCCGACGCAGCCCCAGAGCTGCGCCTGCCCACTCCAGCGCTGCGCACTACACGCCTCTGCCCGCGCGGCCGCTCGTCCTCGGAGCCCGCGGCTGGCCCCGCTCGGGAGCGCACGCCGTGACCCGAGGCGCGCTGTGGGCTCCGGCGCGGCACGCGGCACAGGGCTTGCCCTCGCACAGAGAGGAAGAATCGAAGCAGACTCGAGTCAGTTTTAGGTCGGGCCTGTCCCCCTACAGGCGGGCTTTGGACGAAAAATAGAGAAAACCTCAAAAATACCCCAAAGATGCTCAAAAATGGTCAGAAAATGGTCCCCAGACTATTTGTTTACTATTTCTAAATTTTACCCCTGTAGAGGGACAGGCCCGACTGAAAGTCAGCTGGTGTGTGCGCGAGGGTGGTGCAAAAGCTTGGCCTTCGGCTCCGCAGCATGGCCCGTTCTCCCGGTGCAACGCTGCGGGGAGGGAGAACGATTTGGGATGCAACGGGCTTTGAGGTGCTTGCCTGGGAAGCACTGTGCCCCTCATAGCATCTGTAGCCGATTCGGTCGCACAGGAGAGTACAGAGCACTGCACCGAGCGAAGCTCAACAAGTACGCCTGGCAAAATGGAACGAGGTCCGCAGCACGATGTCAAATGCTTCAGGCGGGTCGTCGTCGCGCTACTTTTGACTTGGATGCCCCCGCTACAGTCATAATACGTCGGCGGTGGACAAACCTCCCTATAGTAGACCTCCCCTTAGTGAAAACGGCCTGGGACCGAAACCGACGGACCTGGACCCGCAGAAATGACGGCCGCCACGCCCTCTCGCGAACCGAAAACGGCCGATTCCTGAATCGACGTGTCAGGGTAGGAGGTCTGTCCACCCCCGAATACGTCCATCACGTTCAGTGTCATGGGGTTGCGCGCACCATCGCCAAGATGACACCGCGCGGGCACCGTCCTCTGCCGCTCGGCCCGTCTGACCTGAGAAAGCTAGCACAAGCAGCTAGTGGAGCCAACGAACGACAACCCTTGGTTCCAGCGGGGTGCGGGCTTGGGGGGGCAGAGGGGCGAAGGCAGCAGGGGATGGAGGGGCCAAGGGGCGCAAGGGCCACGGACGGGCGCCGCAAGGTGGCCCGAAAGGGCGGGACGGGGCGGGTGTCACCACGTCACCACCCCCCTTGCCCCGCCGACACCCTCCAGCGGCTCTCCTCCCGCGCCTCGTCCCCTGCGTCCGTCCGCCTGCTAGGGGGACAGGAAAAAACGCGTCGTCGTTCCGAATCACCCCTCTCGAATATGGTCCCCGACTTTGTCTCGTGGGCTGCGTCTGCCTGGGCGTAGTAGCGATGCAGCGCCCGATGCTCTCACCGATGTCCACCTACGCATCGGATTCAATATACATCGACAAGAGCCCTGCTGGAACGGTCGCGTGCCCACCCAGCTTGCATTCACCGAACACGATTTCACCAAGCATCACTCGTTTGCTGATCGCTAGACCACGACTACCATGCGATTCCGAGCGGGGCAGACTCTACATTTCAGATTGCTCCTGCGTACGTACCTTTTCAGCAGTAGCCCCGAAAATATGCAAAGCGCGCTCTACCTCGACTCCGTTGCCATCTCCGCCCCTCTATTCCTACCTCCCTCTCTCTCTATCTCTTTCTCTTTCTATGTATATATATATACAAATATGTATATATATATATATGTATCATGATCCATATCTCTCTCTCTCTCTTTCTCTCTCGCTCTGCATTTCTCTGCCTCCCTGCAGAACTCCTCCCGTGACTTCCCCAACGCGAACGCTGCCCCTACCTGGTGCCCAACGAAACCACATTCCCTCACCTGTGATAGCAAAGAGCCATACAAGTTTAGCGTGTGCGTTCCGGAGGCCAAGACTTGGCCCGCACGAGGGGAATCGATCACCGATACCACCCGTGTCCGTGCAGATCAAGGATGACTACAAATATGTCCCCTGCCCCCCGTGTCTCCCACACTCCACTGCGTTTGCACCTTCCCCTCCTGCCTCCCCTATCCCCCGACCCCTCCCTGGCAAGACCACCCCAAAGAAAAGGCTGTCCTGCTGGAGATGCCACGCGCGCTCTTCGCCTGACGAGGCGGAAAGAAACGAGGGCGCTGAGGAGGGGTGGAAAATGATCGTGAGATTTCCTATTGGCGTCACTACAGCTCTTGCTCTTGACCACTCGCCACCGTGATACTGGATCCGATGCGGGCCCCTTCACCATGGCAATCAGGGCGCTCGTCTGATAAAGACAAGCACTTAGAACGGCACTACCGATCCACGGAGAGTGGCGAAGCCAGCCGGAAACAAGATGCCGAGATGGTCAGATGGGACTAAAAGATTCGAGCAGGGGATCGACTATATAATCGATTTACCCAAAAATAGATTTTCTCGTTAAAGCCCTGAAGAATGCATTGAATGTTCGTGGACCTACGTCGCATTCTACGCATGTGTCATGGACCCGACGAGAAAATCACTTTTTGGGGGTGTCTCAAGTCTGCAGTCGATCCCCCACTCGAAAGATGGAGTGGGAATGGTGGAGGGCAAAGAGCAGCGCACCCGACAGAGAGCGCCGAACCCGAGAGATCACGAGAATGGCACCCTTCGTCGCAGGCACGGCGGGCGGGCACTGCGACCAGACGGGAGAACAGAGGCCCCCTTGCAGAGACAGAGGTGCAGCGCGACGCGGCAGGGGCCTGCGGACACGACGACGAGGGCGACGGCGACGAGGGCGACGGCGACGAGGGCGACGACGACGACGACGACGACGACGACGACGACGACGACGACGACGAGGGCGACGACGACGACGACGACGACGACGACGAAGCCCTCCACCTGCAGAATGCCGATGAGCACGCCGAGGAAGCTGAAGAGGCTCACCAGCGAGGACAGCGTCAAGATGAACGAGAAGCTGCCGCTCGAGAACAGCCTCCGGGCGGCGAGGGCGAGCACCAGGCGAGACGAGGCGGCATGCCGGGTGCAGTGTACGCTCCGCGAGGCACGCTCGGGCCAACCTGTGCACGGCGCAGGAGACCGCAGCCCCGACGAGGTAAAGCGAGAGCAAGGGCGAGTCGTCAAGGGCTTGACGACTCCTGCTGTCCCTCGACTCGCGCTGGACCTTCCACGACTGCTCCAGAGTCACCTGGATCGTTTCCTGGATCTGCCTCGACGTATGTGGGCTTACCTCGACGTCTTCGGATCCACCTCGGTGTACCTCGATTTGACTAGCCCGATCCCCGCAGGTCGATCGGAGAAGAGTCGTCCAGCCCTCAGAGAGCGAAGGGGATGGCCGGGCGGCATCGCATCGGCGGGCTTGCGCCAGGACCAGAAGAAGAAACGCCAGAAACATAAACTGTCGGCGCTCCGCGCGGATTTCTTGGATCTGCGCTGCGCCCCCCTCCCTGGCGCGCGGAGCGCGCTGGGGGCGGCGCCAGGCGGCCCAGCGCGGACCCAAGAAACCCGCGCGGAGCGCCAAAAGTCCGTGTTTGTGGCGCTTGTTCCTCCTCGAAGGACGCTGGGCCCAGGCAGCCGGGTCGCTGACGCCGGGAGAGGCCCCGCGGCTCTCTCTCTCTCTCTCTCTCTCTGCGGCCGCGGCCGGGCGGAGGAGGGGCCACGCGGCGCGCACGGGGCCGAGAGGGGGGGCAGGCCCGCGAGGGCGGGGGGGGCGGGCCTCTCGGGCTGGGGGGCCTCGTGCCGGAGAAGCTCGGCGCGGAACGGGATCGGGCCGGGCAGGCTCCCGCGAGGGGGCAGTTTCCAGCCGGAGGGCGCCTCCGACTGGAAAAGGCAGAGGTCGCGATGAGGGATCCCGGGCCCGATGCCAGAAGCATCGAGACGTCGACTGAACTCAACCGTGGCAGCAACTGGGGAATGGCGCATCGTCCGGGAGCGAGGCTGCGAAGACGTCTGCTGGACTCCCCTCTCCATTCTCGCGTGTTGTTTTTTATGGCTGCACCGTGCCTCTCGAGTCCTGTCTCCTTTCTACTGTTCACTGGAGGGCCGCGCCGCGGGAACAGAAACCTGGGGGGGGGCGGGCCTCAGCCGCCTGGCCGCTCCAGGCAGCCACAGGGTTCCCATGGAGGCGCCGTCGGAGCCCAAGAAGCCTCAAGCGCACGAGCTCTGGCCGAAGATGGCCCCAAGGTGCCTTCAGGACGGCCCAGGAGGGCCAAGAGACACCCCCGAGGTGGCGACAAAACTTAGAAAGCGCGATGTGTTCAGTGTTTTCGTCTCTACCACATCTTGCTCCCAAGATGTCCCAAGGTCGCTTCCAAACGGCCCCCCGAGCCACCGAGATTATCCGAGACGACCCCAAGGCGATCCCAAAAAGGCTCCACAAAACACCGCCCAGATCGCCAATGACGGCCCACGAAGGCCCAAGGATGCCCCGCAGAGGCCCCCCGCACTGCCCCGATACAGCCACAGAGGCCAGCGGCAGAGGGCGCAGCCCTTCAGACATTCTGCATTTTCTGGGCGGAACTACTTTCGCCACGCTTTTCTACTGGGGGCACCCCCGGAGGAGGGCGCGGAGGCTTGCCTACACAGTCCGCACCGTTTGCCCCGAAGACGTGCCGCGGCCCAAGCGGGCTCTCATGGAGCTCGCTACAATCGTCGGCTCCATCGGCCCTTCCACCAGCCGCCCCTTCTGTAAAATTCTCCGTTGCTACATGATGGCCTCGTCGCAAAAACTCAATGGCACGTCATACCTACCCAAGAACCACCTCATGGCCACTGTGTAGCCCATCAAAGGATTCTTCATGGTTATCGTTCAGGAGCAACGCACGGCGATCTCTCTGCGAACACGCTCCGCACTTGCATTGAATGTACATTCCCTCCTGTTTAGCTGCAGGTACCTCAGCGCTACCCCTTGCGCGGTTTCCTTCGCAACTCCCCGATAACGAGCCCATCATAAGACCAACCAATCAGATACTGCATTGGTACCACTCAGCTATCTCATGACTACTCTGGGACACATGATGGCATTCCATCATCTGCCCAGGGCAACCAGACAGATCCAGAGTCGACATCGCAAGTAACTCCACGGCCACCGACATTGTTACATCGCCCATACCTCCCGACCCACCCACCCACCCACCCACCCCTAATGCTCCGACCTCTCTCGTCACTGCCTGAAACATTCAGAACCTCCTCTGAACCTACATGGATGGTCGCGCAGGCGCTACCACATACGAAACTACCTCGCACGATCAGCCCACTGCTGTCTCAGATCGGCATCATATCCTGATCCCCCTCGTCGCACACATGCTACACCTCGCCCAGATCCTCCTCCTCCTCCTCCTCCTCCTCCTCCTCCTCCTCCTCCTCCTCCTCCTCCTCCTCCTCCTCCTCCTCCTCCTCCTCCTCTTCCTCTTCCTCTTCCTCCTCTTCTTCCTCTTTGTGGAGAGCCCACGAGTCCCACACGACTCGACATGATCAGTTATGCCACCCTGATGGCCATCAGCGCTACACTGCAACCCTCCTCTCCCTACCTGACTCCGACAGGCGCGGGCGCAGCCAGAACACCGCGAAGGCAACGGCCGTGAAGCCGCCCCAGGCCTTGCAGGCGTCCGCCCTGGCCCACCTAGCGGAGCGGACGTGGCGCGAAGGATCGGACCGGACTGGTGCGGACCCGATCGTTCGGACGGATCTCGCAAGCGGGAATCTGGGCTGAAGGGGTTGGGCGCGCGCCCTATTCCAACCCCCTTCGCCCCATTCGGGTAAGGATTTACCACTGTTCCTCATGAACCTACACCCCCTCCCCCACCCGTTCGGCGACACGCCCGGAACCATGCCGACACCCACAAATGTCAAAAACATCATCACAAAATGCACTTCGCACCAAAATCTGGATCATGCGTGGACGCCCCGCGTTCTCTGTGCATTGGAAACGGCGGGGGTGCTGGCATATCGCCTGTTTTGTGCAATGCCAACAGCCCCCACCGACTCTTGCACAGAACAACGCGAAAAGCACTTTCAACCAAAATCTGGATCATGCGCGGACGCCCCGCAATCACCTTGCATTGGTTTTTGATCGGGGCGGCGGGGGGGCGGCATATTGCCTGCTGCCTCCAGACCCATCATCCCTCCCAACAGAAAATGCAAAGTGCACTTTGCCAGGGACGGCGGCTGGGGCGGCACACTGCCTGCTTTGCGCCGGCCTATGATCCATGCCAAAAACAAGTTCAAAACTACCGTTGGTGCACAACCACACGCAATACGCAATGACCGCAAAACCCGCCATCATTTTGCATTGGTTGTTGACAAGGCAACGGGGGGCGGTCGACATATGACCCAATGCGGCGGACCTGGCGCGCGTGGCAAAACCGGTTCGCGCGGCGCACCTGGGCGGGTGGGAGCGAAGGACACGGCTTGCGGTTTGGAGTAGCTAGGTATCACAATGTTGCCACGCCCCCCGACGATGCCACGCTCCCCCGAGAAGGGCAGCTCTCCTGGGCATCGTTCCTACATGGTTTCGTGGGGGTACACATCTTTGATTGCGAGCGACGCGGAAACAGCCGCGCACCGTCAAAGGGTCGAGCGGCACAGGGCCAAGGCGCACAGCGCAACTGTCGCCAGCGAAGCGCAGGAAAAGAAGGCCACGATGGCGGCGAAAACTACCAGGCGATGCGCAGCGGCAACGCGGCAGGGGCGAGGGCGAACGAAGAGACAGAGGAAGAAGGCGAAAGAGGAGCGGAAGACGCACAAAGGAAGAAGGCAAAAGAGGGCGAAAGAACGAGAGACGAGGGAGACACGGAAGAGACGGCGGGCGCGCAGGGGATCAGGCTCAGGCGACGAAGAGGTCGAAGTACCTTGCCAAAGAGCGGGACATGAAGCACGGGGGGGGTCGCGAAACCACAGACGCACACCAAGCGTATGTGACATACAATCCAGCAGGCCCTCCCCAAGGCCACAGGATGAGCCGAATGGCAAGCGCCCTCCAGGAGCCATCTGGGAAGCAAGCACGCCCCAAGTGCGACGAGAACAAGGGCCGGAAGGGTAGCCTAGTGGCGACAGTGACAAATCAGCCTAGCCAGGTGGATGGACGTCAACCTGCCGCGCATGCGACACAGGCGGGGGCACCGCCGTCAGAAGCCAACGGCCCGATGAGGGCCAACGCAGACGCGCCAAGAACCAGTTCCTGCTGAGGTTTTTTGGTTTTCGTGGCCACGTCGCCGGCTCTTCCGCCAGCCACGCCGGCAGCGCGCCGCCGGGCCGCAGAGAGGGCAGCCGCGCGAGCAGCGGCCGCAGGGCCCCGAGCTCGCGCGCCAGGGCGGCCTGCAGCACCGGGCGCCCAGAAGCCAGCTGCCCCGCCCCGGCCAGGCGCCGCAGCTCCGCGGTGGCCAGCACGGGGTGGGCGCCACGTGCGAAGGACCTCCTCTCGTTCTCGCGCCGCACCCTCGACGACGGCGGGAACGGGGCGGAGGCGTCGAGCCTCGCGGCCCCCGGCTGTAGAACGTCGGCTCCTCCGCCTGCAGCTCCGAGAAGTCCGCCACGACCAGCCTCTCGGCACCGAGCGTGCGGGCCGCCCAGCGCAGCTGCGCGCTCATCGGCGACGCCTCCAGCGCGAGGCGGAGGCGCGGGGCGGCCTGGCCACCCACGCAGCCCGCCGCGCAGTCGACCAGGCAGCCGCCAGCCGCCGCGCACTCCGCGAGCCGCGGGAAGGCCCGCGGCAGGGCCGCCTGTAGGCACGGGTCCACGTGCTTCAAGTAGATGCGCTCGGCGGCCTCCACGGGGTCCCTGGTCGCGACGATGCCGATCAGTCCAGGGATCTGGGCGAGGCGCGCCAACGCCGCGGGCGACTCGATGTAGCTGGAGCGCTTCACGCCACGCAGCAGCCGCTGGTGCCCAGGCTTCCGGCGCTGGGCGTTGTTCTCGAAGACGTCCCTCTGGTTCGGCAGGTGCGAGGTCCGGCCGTAGAAGAAGAAGCGCTCCTCGCCGACGCTCATCTGTGCGGGGTCGTACAGCAGCTCCAGCTCGGGGTGCTGGTGCAGGTTCCAAGCCAGGGTGCTGGTACCAGAGCCAGCGAAGCCCAGGATGGCCCAGGAGACGTCGAGCTCGCTCCAGCTGCCAGCCCCCTCGACCTCCACGTCGAGCAGCCGCCATACCTGGGGAAGCTCGCCCTTGAAGGTATTGTCCACCACCTCTGGTCGGTCCTGCATGTTCAGCTTGAACCGCATGGCGGCCTCTGGCATCGCGATGTCGCGGATGGACCCGGAAAGCCTCAAGTACCAGAGCAGCGGGACAATCACCTCGCGGACCCTGAGCTCGGAGCACGGGGCAGGCACGCACATGCCGTTGATGGCGCTGCCGTCCCCGCGCGAGAAGCCGAGGTGGGTGCCCATGCTCTCCCCGCTCCACGCGTCCGTGAAGTTGTGGAGGAACCTCGTGGTCGCGATCCAATACCGGCCCCCACGCGGCGCGTGCAGTCCCGCTGGTACGCGGCCGCCGAGAACATCTCGGCCCTCCACAGCGGGCTCCTCTCGGCGCAGGTGCGCATCTCCGCGACGCTGTGGTCCACGTACGCCAGGTGCCTCTCCAGCAGGCTCTGCAGGCCACAGCCCTGCCACCCAGCCGCCGCGGCCCGCAGCGGGGCGGCGGCCGCGGCCGCGAGCGCCAGGAGCCGGCGCCGCCCCGGCAGCGTCGCCGGCGGGCCCTCCCTGCCCCCGGCTGCAGCCGGCATGGCCGGCACCCACTGCTGCAGGCGCCCGGCCGGCGCCGCCCGGGCATAGCTGGCGGTGGCTCCGCAATCGCGCGGCGCAGCTGCTCCGGCTTGAGCCAGAACGGCTACGGAGGCTGGCGGGGATACTTTTTTGGTCTGCGGCCCAAAGGAAGGCCCCAGAGGGCGGGTCAATCAGGCTGTCTGGGGCACAGAGCCAGATAATTCGCGAGTCCAGCCGTCATTGTCGACAGCCGACCGCACCTGCAAGCATGCCGAACGGAGTTCACATGCGAGGAACAAAATGATCCTCATTAAGCCTAACCAAAACGGCAGCCGACGACGGACAGCGGGGCGTCGCACAGTGGCGCCGTGGCGCCAGCACCCGACAGACCGGACGGCGAAGGGCAGGGCGACAGGGGGGGGAAAGGAGGGGGGAAGAGAGGGGCGGGAGAGGGACAGGGGGGCAAAGGGAGCATCACTCACAGAGCACCACGTGCTCGAGGACAGGTCGTCACTGAACCAGGCGTCGGTAGTCTTGGCGTGAATCCCGAGTGGCGACTGCCATGCGTCCGTGGACGGGGGGGGCGTCGCGTGGGACCACGGCGGCACTACCCACCAGCGTTCAGAGGCCCCGCCTGGGGGGGGCTGCGGGCAGGTGCGCACCACCTGAACATCGCAGAAGGGCAGGGCGTCGCTGGCGTCCGCGAGCGACAAATCCTACCAGGGGAAGGGGCCTACGTCGCTGGCATAGCCGGGAGCCGGAGAACGCCTGCCGAGAGGAAGCACGGCCCAGCCAAAGGATGCACCACTTGCACAGGAAGCCAGCCTCCACGGCCCACCTGTCAGTGGCCCAACGGGCGCGCCCTGCCGCGTGGAAGGAGTAACCACCTCGGGGCAGGCGCGAAGACGCGGCGCTGTTGGGGGGAAGCCGACTGGCGTGACCAGCACCACAACGCGCGTGGAGGAGGGGGGGGGAGGCGCAGCCGATAGCCGCAAATCAGGTGAACGCAGGAAGGAAAGGCACAGGTGGGCCAGGCGACACAGACTGCCGAGGACCCAACAGAGCGTTGCCCGGGGCGAGGCAGGGGGGAAGGACGTCGGCGTCGCGCAGCGGGACGGGCCCGTCGTGGAATGGCTGAGCCTGCCAAAGGATGAACCACTTGTGCAGGAGTGTGCCTTACCTGGGCCCACCCGCAGGTGGCGGTCGATGGGGCCCGCCACAGCAGTCGTCGCGAAGGCAGAGGGGGGGGGGGCGCAGCCGATAGCCGCAAACCGGAGAATACCAAGGAGGAGGAGGAGAGCCATGTGGCGACACAGGCAGTCGAGGACCCAACATGGCGCAGTCGGAATGTAGCCAGGGGGAAGGCGCCTGCCTGGTGGGGGGGAAACGCCACCAGAGCAAGGCCACCTCGTCGGATGTGCATCGTCGTCACCGTCGGACAGACTGTCCAGAGGGGGATGCTCCGCGGCTTCCGCAGCCTCCGCCGCCTCCGCAGTGACATTCCGCTCCGATCCACGCCCGTGTCCCTCGTGTCCTTAAGCGCCCGTTTTCTTCGTGTCCTTAAGCGTCCGTTTTCCCGGCCAATAGTGTCTGGATGGCTGCCCCGCGGTCCCCCTGCCGTGAGTGAGGCACAGTCAGAGGACTGCTGACGGACGGAAAAGTCAGAGGGGGTGCTCCGCGGACTCCGCAGCCCCCGTCGCTTCCGCCGTGACTTCCCGCACGGTTCCTCTGGACAGTGCCACGTGAGCCTGGCGCCACCGACCCAGGCGCAGCTGCCACTGCCGGGCCCAGTCAACGTTGAAGCCCAGCGCGTCGCTGAGGACCCGTACGTCGCACTTGTGGCTGCGGAAGGACTCCAGGAAGAGGTGGCAGGTTTGCGGGTCGCGCCGAAGCGGGTCGAGCGCGCCCTTGCTGCCGGGCACAGACTGCCGCTTGGCGAAAGCGTGCCAGGTGCCAGTGAACATCGACCCTAGTGCGACTCGGAGTCGCCGCATCGCTTCGCCGGGCATCTCACCGGGGAGGTCCCACTGGATGTTGTTGATTCCTGTTTTGTACAGCTGCTGCCCCGTGTGGGGGACTTTGGGCCCCGGCCATTGCCGCGGGTCGGGCCTCTGGCGTGGCCGTGCGTCCTGGCCGCAAGTTTCCACCGCAAGGGCCTCGCTGCTCTGGCTGGGGGGCACGCGATCTGCTCGCGACAGCTCCAGCTGCACGCCCGGCAGGACTTTGCGGGGAAATGCAGGCCTCAAGGTTGGCCGCCAGGCTGGCACGGCGAGGGGGGAACTGCTCACAATTGGGAGGCCTGCGCCAGGATGAGAGTTGTGCCCATGTCCTGCAGTAAGAGCGCCCTGCGCAGCACTGGGCGTCCGCGCATAGTGGCCCGAGTCGTCTGCCTCAGCCTCAGCCCGGGGACGCCCTCCTTGCACGGTGCGGGGGTAACATGGCACAACCTGTGGGTTGTGCCCATGTCCTGCTCGAGAGCGCCCTGCGCAGAAGGATGAGGAGGAGAGGAGGAGGCGCAGCCGATAGCCGCAAGATCTGGTAAATTGAAGGAGGAGAGGGGATCGGCGATGCATCCCCGCGCGGGGCAAGTCGAGTCGTCTTGGATGGCTCTTTCCTCGCAGGCGCGCGCCCGCGCATAGTGGCCCGAGTCGTCTGCCACAGCCACAGTCTGGGGATGCTCTCCTTGCACGGCGCGGGGGGAACACGGCGCAACCTGCGGGTTGCGCCCATGTCCTGCTGCGAGAGTGCCCTGCGCAGAAGGAGGAGGAGGAGGAGGAGGAGGAGGAGGAGGAGGAGAGGAGGAGGCGCAGCCGATAGCCGCAAGATCTGGTAAATTGAAGGAGGAGAGGGGATCGGCGATGTATCCTCGCGCGGGGCAAGTCGAGTCGCCTTGGATGGCTCTTTCCTCGCAGGCGTGCGTCCGCGCATAGTGGCCCGAGTCGTCTGCCACAGCCTCAGCCTGGGGATGCTCTCCTTGCACGGTGCGGAGGGAACATGGCACAACCACGTCGTTGTCGGCGACCACGTCGTCGACGTCGGCGTCGTCGGCGTCGGCTTCGGCGTCGGCGTCGTCGTCGGCTCCGGCGTCGGCCTCGGCTTCGCCTGTGCCGAGATATGGGTTGTGCCCACGTCCTGCTGTGGCCCTGCGCATGAGCCGTACACTGGTCACTGCATGTTGCCTCCTCTCGAGGGTCGTTCGTATGAGCCGCACCCTGGAATCTGCACCCCGGAGGACAGCTGGCGCGCCGGTTGCACTTTGGGGGAAATCCCGCCGCTTCCGCAGCCTCCGCCGTCTCCGCCGTGACATCCCCACCCATTCCACTGCCTTGCTGGTACAGAGGACTGCTGACGGACAGTTTGACCAGAGGGGGGTACTCCGCGGCTTCCGCAGCCTCCGCCGTCTCCGCAGTGATTTCCCGTTCCTTTCCTCTGGCCTGCTGGCACAGCTGAAGGGGGGGAACGTTCGTGTGAGCTGTACACTGGTCACTGCAGGCTACCTCCTCTCGATTCCCCACCGGGACACCATCGTCTGACCACGATGCGGGGGGTGGTATCGTGGCCTCTGCCTCAACCACACGTCGATTCCCCTCTGGGACGTTGTCTTCCGTCGACGAAACGCGGGGAGGCAAGCTGCCGCCGCTGCTGCTGCAGCGGCAGCTGCGGCAACTGTGGCGCAGCCGATCACTGCCAGGGGACGGAGGGCGAATAGGCGCGAAGAGGTTTCTCTCGACGAGCAGGCGTACGGCTTCGTTGTCCTGCGTCCGGGCGGCAGCTCTGTGGTCCCCCTGCAGCGTGCGCGGCTCCCCTAGAGGGCTGCTGGCGGGCTGATTATCCTGAGGGGGATGTTCCGTGGCTTCCGCAGCCTCCGCCGCCTCCGCCGTGGCTTCCCACTCCGTTCCTCTGGCCTGTTGGCCCTGCTGGAGGGGGGGTCGTTGGTGTGAGCTGAACACTGGTCACTTTGGGCTACCTCCTCACGAATCCCCATTGGGACATCGTCGTCTGTCCACGATGCGGGGGTGGTATCGCGCCCTCAGCCTCAACCGCCTCACGATTCCCTTCTGGGACGTCCTCGTCTGTCGACGAAACGGGGAGTGGCACGCTGCCGCCGCTGCTGCCGCTATGTTCCGATGCGTCGTTGTGCGCGGCGGGATCCTCCGTCACGGCGCGGGGGGAACTGCTCACGATTGGGAGGCCAGTGCCAGGATGGGGGTAGCGCCCATCCCCTGCTGCGAGAGTGCCCTGCGCAGTAGGGGGAGGAGGAGAGGAGGAGGCGCAGCCGATAGCCGCAAGATCTGGTATATTGAAAGAGGAGAGGGAGGGGTCGGCGATGCGTGCTTGCATGGGGGAGGTCGAGTCATCTCGGTCGTGGTCGTGGTCGCCTTCGGAGCCGTCGTGGTCGTGGTCGTCGTCGACGTGGTTGTGACAGTGGACCTCGGCGAGGCCCGAGCGGGTCCCAGTGTCCGACGGGCGCCTGCACGCTCAGCTCGCTCTCGAGGGCGCGCAGCGGCGAGTCAGTGTAGGTCACCCCATCGCCCCAGGCGGAGCCCGCGCGGTTGCCCTGCCTGGCCGCGTGGAGCTCGAGGGAGCCGTAGAACGGGAGCATTTGCCCCCAGTCGGAACCAGACACCTTGCCCGGAGCGCTTGGGCCTTCCGGAAGACTCGCGAGGGCAGGCCCCTCGAAGACGACACGTCCCGGCCACGGGAAGACACCCTGTACGATGTACCATATGGCGGCCCAAATGGCGAGGCGGCCGTTCTTGACCTCGGTGCCCCTTCTCCTGTGGAGGACGTCCGCACCGACGTCCTTCGCAAGGCCGAGCGGGTCCCAGTAGCCGACGGGCGCCTGCAGGCCCCGCTCGCTCTCGAGGGCGCGCGGCGGCGAATCCGCGTAGGTCGCCCAGTCGCCCCAGGTGGAGCCCATGAGGCCGTCCTGGAGGAACATCCCGATGATGGCCCTCGTGGCCTGGCGGCCGTTGGCCAGCTCCGCGTTCAGGGACCGCTTCATCTCGTCGTCGCGGTCGTGCTCGTGGTCGCGGTCGTCATCGTCGTCGTCGTCGTCGATGCGACGGCGTCCGTGGAGGTCGTCGTGGGCGGCGTCGGCGTCGTGGTGGTCGTGGTCGTCGTCGTCGGCGTCGTCGTCGTCGAGGTGACGGCGCCTCCTGAAGGCCTGAGGACGCAGTAGGTGATGATGTTGGGCTCCAGCTGCACGTTCGCCATCACGCTCAGCAGCGCCACAGTCTGCAACCACTGCCGACGACTGCTCTGCTCGTACGCGCCGTTCACACTGACGTACGTGTTGATGTAGGACGGGCGCCTGCAGGTCCCGCTCGCTCTCGAAGGCGCGCGGCGGCGACTCCGTGTAGGTCGCCCAGTCGCCCCAGGCGGAGCCCATGAGGCCGTCCTGGAGGAATATCCCGATGATGGCCATCATGGCCAGGCGGCCGTTTGCCAGCTCCGCGTTCAGGGACCGCTTCATCTCGTCGTCGTGGTCGTGCTCGTGGTCGTGGTCGCCATCGTCGTCGTCGTCGAGGCGACAGCGTCCGTGGAGGTCGTCGTGGGCGGCG